ATTATTCCGATGATTTACATGGAAAACAAGCTAATTTTGCCATTTACGGCAACAACGACGATACGGTATTACGGCAAGGGAAGAAAAATCAAAATACMGGATGAAAGTTTCATCACATCCATTCATTCCATCGATTATTATCAGCCATCTATTGATCCCTAACATCACGACGCGCATGGASCATGTGGCATGGATATGGTGACGTGATCTATTTTTAAGAATATTCACGGCCACCCAAAAGCATTCTATTTTGGTTCATGATTTATTTTGGCCCATGTGGCGCATCAATAACCACCGATTTACCAGGAGCTCATGTGGTGCAACAAGGTCCACTCATTCAAGAGTCCTTTTACTGGTTACTATTTTATTTGGAGTATCATTTATTTGCATATTTCACTCCGACGACAATATTCAAGTTTTCCGGAGAACCGATCCCAAAAGCTCACAAAACCAAACACAGACTGTCATAAATCAAGCATGACCACAAAGAATCATGACAAGAACAAGAACACGATCCGGATCCCTCACTCKGGGATCATCAACATTGTTTGACCTTTATGATCAAATTGGTGTTAAAGGCCACCGTCGGAAGAAGCGTTCCAAGAATAAAAGGAGTCCTGCCAACAATCATGAAACMKGCCGTGGTACMGACAGTTCTGATGATGAACCTGATGTAAATGAAAGGCTTGTGGCATTACTGGAAACGCTTGCTGAAAGGATTGATCATTTAGAAAGAAACGATCGATCGGGCCGGGACCGACGGACCCGCATCCGTGGTGGCAGGGATGGTGGTGGTGGTGGTGATGACGGTGGGGATGATGATGATGGTGATGGTGGTGTTGATGGCAATGACTCGGATGATTCATTTGACCCGGATAATAATGATCCGGAAGATGATTATGACTCGGATGACTACTCCGACGCTGATAGTCTCCTAGATAATCATGGCGTTGATCACAGGGAGGCGATTGAAGGTTACGAAAATGGACGCGAGCTCACGGTAGCTGAGGCTAATTTTCGAAAAGTCCTATTGAGCTTGAAGATCTCCTG